TATACCTAATATCTATGTAATAATAATAATTTTCAAAAATAAAAATAATAAAAAATAAACATAAAAATAAATTTGAAGTTAGACATGTAAGCCAAACAGATCATACACGTAATAATAGTAACTTGTATGAATACCAATTCTTAAACCAAACATATAACACATATAGAAATAGCAACCCATATAATATCTCTTCTTAAACCAAGTACACAAGTATATATTAGTAAAATATTCAATATATATTGAATTAGATACTAAATATAAGTTTTTGAATATTTAAATAAATATTAAATCTAAAAATTTATACTTAAAAAATTTTAAATCAATTACCAAATATATCTTCTAATCAACCTATATCAGTCTATAAGTTACCCAAATTGGTTAATGTTTGCATTACCAAATTAAAGGTCAAATTGCTGTCTATAATTAGTTTTTTCTATTTAATTTGTTAGGTGTTTAAAAAGAGAGACTTATAAGTTGAATTTAAACAGCATAACAATTATTAGATATTACTAATTAGCTATTATCAATGAGTTATGACCATTGCACCTGGCCCTTCGGACCTATTGGCCTCCTGCCAGTTTGAGGTACATTTTCTTCTCCTTTTGATGGGTTTCAAGCCCGTCCCTTGACAAACTGTTCAAAAAAAAAACAAAAAACAAAAAAGAGCTACAACTATTAACTATTGTTAACAGTGAAACCAAACATACCGTTTAATATTTTTATGTGAACATAGCCTTAATTAGTAATGATTAATGTAGCTCTATTTTATTAGTCTTTAGGGTACATTTTAACAATGAACTGTACAATAAAGGGCATTCCCCTACTCCTTGGCATGTTAAAATTTGAATTTAAGATTTTTAACAAAAATATTTAAATTTTTAATCATTGGAAACATTTACAATAACATGATGAATTCTAAAGAAATTAGGAGATATGGAGTTTTCTTGAGTTTTTTCTATCTGTATTTTTTTTTTCACATATTAAGGGTGCATTAACGATATATTTTTCATTAATTGTTATAGAAAAGGTAAAAGTTGGCTTTAAGAGACATGTTAGACAAACAAAAAATGATTTGTACATACTTAATTTAATATATTTTTTGACACATTTCTAGTTTAACTATTAAAAATATAATATAAATATAATCGATTTAGTCGGTTCTTATATCTTGCGTGTATGATTGTATCTTAAACTTATCTATCTTTAATTGTAAATTAAAATATAATAATTTTTTAATGAGGGTGTTATGTAATGTGTTGAATAAAATGTGTATCAATTATTGTTCTAGATAAACCTTTAAAGGGTGTTTAGTTTATTTTCTTGGAAAATTAATTTCTCTCTCTAGCATTTTGTAAAAGTATTTTGGTACTCATATTCTTTAAGTGTTTGTCTAACCTATACTCTAAGGGTACAGTTTAAAATTGTATTAAATATATTTTTTATCATAAATTTGTATTAAAAAAATAAAAATTGACATTTAATTTATTAATTATTCAATTAAATTCACATAATACTAAAATTAATATAAGTTTTTACATCTTTTTATATACAATTATAATAAAAAAAATGCACTTAAGGGCACGGGTCAAAAAATCCGTTACTTTAAAACTATATAGTGAATAAAGGGCAAAAATAACATTTTTAGCCTTTTAAAAAAATTTTTTAATACAAATTTTAATCTATAAACTTTTCTTCTTTATATAAGACCCACTTAGCTTTTAATATATCAATTTTTAATCAAGCACAATAAAATTAACAACTTAACAAAATTTTATTACAAAATTTAATAAATGTTTATGTAGTAATTTAATCAATCATTTTTTCAAAAAAAAAAAAAAACCTTTTCTAAAAAAATTAGTCTTTAACCAAACATACTCTTAAGAGATAAGGTAAACTAACCCTTTTTCTATATATAAATACAAAAATACATCAAGTTAAAGATTACAACCAAAATAACTTCAATGCACAAAGGACCAAAAAAAGGAGAAAGGAAAAAAACCTTTTTCCTTAAAAATCTATAAAAATATAAATTTCTAATTAATTGAAGAAATAAACTAAACCCATCGAGTTGATTTATTAACTCAATACCGTTTGACTACTAAATCTATACCATTTTATCTGCTATATCATCCACTTAACTATCATATCAATTAAATAGAGTTTCTTCTACAAGGCTTGGCCTTCTTGGAACCCCTCTAATTTTTAGGCTTTAAGATAATTAGTCTCTTAACATATATTTTGTATAGTTTAATCCATAAATTTTTGTAATTGACTTAAAATAAAGTGAATCTCATAACATGAGTCATGCATGTGGTGATCTTTACCGTGTTAATCTACCATGCTAGTATAAATATAGTTTATTTAAACTTATAGAGATAGAAAAAAATTTTGTCTAGAATAAGTTTTCAAATAATTATTTTGAATTAGATGAATATTTTTTTTTCTACTCCCTCCGTTACATTATATATGTCGTTTTTTTAACTAATTTTTTGTTTCAAATTAAATTGGCTGTTATCTTTACATTTTAAAAATCATGGATGCAGGTTGAGTAACTTTAGAAGGGCCAAAATATTTTTAATGGTATGAGTTTTAAAAGATAAATTTTTGAGGGACCAAATAATAATAAACCTAAAACTAAAGGTCTGAAAATTTTTTGAGGTGCCACGGTCCCCCTCAGCCTGTAGTATTCTCCGTCGTTGTTGAGAGATTAAGTTTATACCACTTTGACCATGTGGTTAAAACTCGTGTAATAATATTCATCTCACCAATGACATTTTATTAATCTCAACCGATAGAATTGAAAAAATATTTTTTTTTTGAATATTTGAGAGTTAATTACTTGATAGTAATAATTTGAATTTTTAATTTTGAATCAAAATTAAAGTTCTTAAATAATTGAATATCAACCTAACTAATCTTTTATTAGAAAAATTGAGATAAATATAAAAATATAAATTAATTT